GGTCCAGCGAGCCCCAGAGCCCTCCAGGAGCCAGCTGGGTCGCTCCCGGGCTGGGCTGGGGGGCAGCCGGGCCCCGCTCCCAGCCCTGTGCGGGGGCAGGCGTTACGTACACCAAATACTGGTCCCGCAGTTTGCGCAGCTGCATGAGGTCTGGCTTCAGGCTGTTCATGCGCTTGTCGATCTCCCGGTTCTCCGAGGCTTGTTTCTTCAGGTCCTGCTCCAGCTTCATCTTGCTGTCGTGGATCTCCGTGATGCGAGACTTGAGCTTCTCCGAGTTCATGAGGATCCTGGGAGAAGGAGGGGGTTTGGGCCGTGAGCCAGGGTGGGGGAGGCAGAGGAGGCAGCCTGCCAGCTCCAGCCCACAGCGCGCTGCTGCAGAGACGAGGACTGTGCACGCTGCGGCTCCGTGCTGGGCCAGGATGATCCCTCCAGCCCCCAGAGCCCTCCCCCAGGCAGGGATGGCCACCTGCAACCCCCCCGTCCTCACCGTTGCACCTCCTTCTCATTGCCCTCCCGTCGGAAGCGCTCGATGTACTCCTTGCTGCATTTCTCCTGCGTCTGACACTGCTCCTCAAAGATCTTGATCGTCTCGTTGAAGGCCTCGATTGCCGTCCTCTTCATCTGCAGCTCCTGAAAAGAGAGCGGAGAGCTGAGGAAGGGGAATGATTTGGGCAGGTTTCTGCCCATTCGCACCCACTCCCCCCCCTCCCCAAAGCAGCACTGTCCTTCCTGCAGCCAAAATACCCCCCTCTTCAAAGCCCAGCCTCTGGGGAGTCCCCTCAAGGCCAGGAGCAGACAAATGGGGCGTCGGGTGCCCGATCTCTGCTCTCCTGCGTGCAGCAGTGCGGCTGCCAGCAGTCGGGGGACGGCAGGGCAGGGCCCACGTACCTGGGACGTGCGCGTGTACTCCTCGTAGAGCAGGTCGTACTCCCAGCTCTTGTCCTGGTACTGCTGGTGATAGACCTTCAGCTGCTCCCCGACGGCCTCCACGCTGTCCTCTTTCACCACTTGGTCCTGCCATATGCACAGCCTCAGTCAGGACCTGCTCCTGCCCTACAGCAGCCCCCTGGCAAGGCAGCTGGTCCCACGAAACCCTCCCCAGACCCCCATCACTCCACAAAGCACCATCCCAGCACCGGGGAAGGGATGGGACATTGTCATCTACCAAAGGACCAGAGACGGATGAGCAAATGCCCCTGGTTCAGGCTGTCCCTGTGGCACAGGCCTCACCTGCTGGTACTTGGAGATGGGGTAGAGCAGCCTGGTGTCCAGCTTGGCGTTGTACTGGGCGAGCGACTCGTGCCGGTAATGGGTGATGAGCCCGCTCCGAACGTCAGGGCCTCTGAAAAGCCGTACTTCCCCTCCCGGTGGAAGATCTTGATCAGCTTGTTATTGCCTCCCTTCCTGTAGCGGGGAGGGGACAGAGGGCACCTGTCACCACCCCAGCACCCTTCACCAGCCGGGCGTCTGGGCGTCCAGGCAGCCATAAGCACAGGGACGCGTGCCAGGGCTCTCGGGGGACCCCATCGCCCTACCTGAGCGTGAGCGTGTACTCGCCCTGGATCTTGCTGGAGGCATCTCGCACCAAGAAGGTACCATCCGGCGTGTCCCGTAGCTTCTCGTTCACCTCCTCCCTGCGAGGAACACGATTGTCACGGGCTGTGAGGTGCAGCCAGAGCTCCCCGAGACACCCTGACAGACACGGAGCTGCCAGCCACCCCCTTACCGGGAAATGTCACCCCAATACCACTCGGCGTCTTGCAAGGGCACGCTGTTCCCGTTGGCCAGGCTGGCGGCACTGGGCTTTGGCTTCGGCGGTTTTGGAGGCAAAGCTGCAAGAGAAGCAGGGTTAAAGCAGGGTGAGCCCAAGTCCCAGCTCCCCACAGGCACCTCCTCGGAGCGCTGGGTCCCCCTCCCCGCAGTGACCGCCCTGGGCAGCCCGGCTCGGCCGGCACGCTGCCAGGAGCTGCTCCAGGCACATCCACAGCAGCAGATGAACGCCTCGAGCAGGCAGCCAGGCACAGCTGGGCTGCAGAAACGCCCTCGGCAACCCGGTCACAGGACAGAGACTCCACACCCACGGAGAACAAACAGCAGCACCTCAGGCCCCAAGGAAGGGGCATCTCAGTACCTGGAGGCAACTGCTCCGGCTCCAGCTCCTTCGTCTGCAGAAGCGTCTCCAGAAACAGCATGGAGAAGTCAGGGCTCAGCTCTGGGCTGCAGGGAGAGAGGAGCCAAGATCAGCGGTTGTGGGGGAGAACTTGGCCCTGCTCCCGTGGCCCCCGGGCAAAGGGGCAGCCGGGGTCGGCTGGCTCATCGCTGCGCACAGCCCAGCTGGAGCTCCCAGGCTGACACAGGAGCCAGGACTCTGCCCTTGCGTCCCACCTCCGCGTGCTGCCAGCAGCTCCGTCCCACGCGCAGGGGCCGTGGGCA